AGTTAGATAGAGGCAAATATTCTAAAGACTTGTTCAGCCATGAAGTTTTAATTTCTAAAGATTTTTTTTAAAAAAATGGYTACATTGTATTTTATTTATTGATATTTATACAAAGACCTTCACAATGTAAGACCTACACCACTGAATACTTGCTTTTTCAAACTTCTCCCAAGCAATGTATTGAATAGGAACCCTTGCCCTACTACCCACTTCATCAGGTTGAGATTAGATGAGGATCAGAGGTAGGGCAGGTTCTCCAAAGCTGCAGAGCCCAGGGAGGGAGGAATGATGGGGTAAAGGTTGGGAAGGTCGAAGTACAACTCCTATGATAATAAAGAGTATCATAATTTGTGCTTTCCTGATGCAGCATATGAGATCTCAGACCCATGACACATCACATTCTTTGTTARGAGGCAGCAACCACAGGCAGAAGTATAGATGGTGGAGGGAGATACTCACCTTTGCCAAAGCTGCTAGATTGAAGAATGACCCAGCTTGGGTTTTTACTTGYTTCTTTCCTCTTCCTAGAATGAGGAGCAGTTGTCCAACACCCAAGCCCTTGAACTCCAAAGGAGAACAAGAAGGGGCCACCTGCCTTGCATTTTGAGTCAGAATTTGTCTTGATCCGGTTCCCAAAAGTAGAAATCTCTTCCCCTGTTTTGAGTCCTAGAAAAGGATTTGATGTGTGTGTGTGTGTGTGTGTGTGTGTGTGAGAGAGAGAGAGAGAGAGAGAGAGAGAGAGAGAGAGAGAGAGAGAGAGAGAGAAAGAGAGAGAGAGAGAGAAAGCATGTGTGTTGGGGTGGGATAGGGTGTGTATAGGTGGGATGGAGACTTGAGCATAGGTGGGCATTGTTTAACAGACTTTATTTCCTTTTCCAGGGATGAGAGGCCACACAAACATATAAAACACAAACTCCTCAGGCAAGGCTTCTTTCCTCAGCAGCTAAAAAACCAGCCCTCCACAAGATCTACAGTTTGGTTGGGAGACATCCATTGTTTATTATTCTAATAATGTTCCTGTACTCTTGACATCCTTCTTCCTCATTAAAGAAGACTGAGGCATACAAGGATGTCACTGTGCAGATGAGGGACCTCTGTGGTTGTGAAAAGGAATGTGAGGAAGAGCATTCTGGTGACACCTCTGATTGCCGCCAAACTTCTGAGAGGGAAGAAGTTTCATCTCCATCCTAATCCCTGTCTTCTAAGGTAGATGAGGCATGAGACAGAAGAAATTTCAAAGATGTGACTCACCATTATTTCTATCACAGGAGGAAAAAGATTGCCCTGAACTCAGTAAATTTTATGGAGCCAAATATTTGCATAAGAGACTGGCTTCTTCTTTGGACTCACATATTCATAAGAAGAGTAACTACACACACACACACACACACACACACACACACACACACAGACATGCAGAAGCTGCTGGTATAGAAACTTGAGAACTTGCATATACTGACTTGAAAATGTGTGTGACTTGATCAGAAAAATAATCCATATGTACTCAAAATATAAACCACAACTAGGAAAAAAATCCCAATCTGAGGAAAAACTGTCATTGATTTGCCTTGAGTTAAATATAACAAAACTAGYATTTCCAGGTTCAAGGCTTCTTTCTACTTTACACTCCTTTTTTTCTGCTCTTTAAAATATTTAGACCATCCATTCATTATTAGTAGGTTATCTACTGAGGGTCTTATATAAAAATATGCAAAAAATCATGGGGTGAAAATATGCATGATGATAATTAAAATTTTATGTGACTAAAATTTAGAGCCCTTTTCCTCACCAATGCAGATACAACCAGCAAACATGCATTACTATTGCTTTAAATTTGCCTTAAGAATATAATTTCATAAAAGCATTAAGAAATAGTTCCTTTCTTACAAAAATTTTTCTATTATAAAAGAAATAACAAAAACTAAAATTTCTCCTTACTATCAGGCTCTCATTGCATGTAACAGTCTATGAAAAAAATAAAAGGAAAATGGCAACTTGGGGAGATATTCCATTAACAGAAGAAAAAATATGAATGTCTTTTATGTACACATGGCTATCACAATAACGTATATGTTTCAGTAGTAAAACAAGAATGGACTAATAGCAGCTTTCTCGATACCCCCTAAAAATTAATATTAGAATAATATAAGTTGATTGATTGTATGTCCTCCTCTGAGAAGTGTCTGTTCAGGTCTTTGGCCCATTTGTTGATTGGGTTATTTGTTTTCTTATTGTTTAATTTTTTGAGTTCTTTGTATACTCTGGATATTAGGGCTCTATCTGAAGTGTGAGGAGTAAACATTTGTTCCCATGATGTAGGCTCCCTGTTTACCTCTCTTATTGTTTCTCTTGCTGA